TAATTATAGAATGTTTAGCGAATGTGTCTGTATACCTTACAAGGAATTGTTTTGTCTTCTCAGGTTGATTTAATCTCAGAGAAGTTATCAATGTGATTTAAAAAAAAAAAAAAAGATTTATTTGTTTGAAAGGCAGAGTTACAGAGAGAAAAGGAGAAACAGACAGAGATTTTTCCATCTGCTGGTTCACTCCCCAAATGGCCACAAAGACTAGGGCTGGGCCAGGCCAAAGCCAGGAGCTTCATTCAGGTCTCCCATGAGGTTGCAGGGGCCCAAGGACTTGGTCCATCTTCCACTGCTTTCCCAGGCACCTAGCAGGGAGCTGGATCAGAAGTGGAGCAGCTGGGACTGGAACTGACACCCATATGGGATGTGGGTGCTTCAGGCCATGGCTTAACCTGCTGTGCCACAGCGCCAGCCCATCAATGCAATTTTTAAAAATATGTTTCCATATTGCCAATATATTATGGAGCCATAGATTTTGTAAGAAATAATATGCTTTGGGGCCGGCGCTGTGGTGTAGTAGGTTAAGCCTGCAGTGCCAGCATCCCGTATAGGTGCTGGTTTGAGTCCCACCTGCTCCACTTCCAATCCAGCTCCCTGTTAATGGCCTAGAAAAGCAGTAGAAGATGGCCTAAGCCCTTGGACCCCTGCACCCAAGTGGGAGACCAGGAAGAAGCTCCCGGCTTCTGGCTTTGGATCCACCCAGCTCTGGCCATTGCGGCTATTTGGGGAGTGAACCAGTGGATCGGAGACCTTTCTCTCTGTCTCTCCCTCTTTCTATCTGTAACTATGCCTCTCAAGTAAATAAATAAATCTTAAAATAATAATAATAATGTGCTGCCCATTGTTTACTAATTTACCTTATGGGATGCTGGCACTGTAGGCAGCGGCTTTACCTGCTATGCCATAGCACTGGCCCCTAATTTACCTTTTACAGGACATGAATTGTTTTTCCATTAGAAGGGATGGATTTTTTTCTTTGTGACTTATTCCGTTTAGTAGGCAGTATCTAGGCAGAGAAGAAAGCTGAGTAAAACAGAATCCTTTCCCTTGAGGACTTTATGGGACACTGAAGAAGAAAAGATTTAAACAGATAATTCCATGGTGCTAAATGCCAGTGTGAAAATAGTTACTGCAGGGTCAGAGAGGGCCTTCCTTCACTTTACTTCAGGAAGTGATACCTGACTGCTTTTTGAGCTACCTGCTTGGTGCCAAACCCTGCTATAAGGTTTTAAGTTTGGAATGAGCAGTAAACAAATTAAAAAAATACAATATTCTCAGATGTTGGTTTGTACTAAAAAAAAATTACAGTGTAGTTAGGGAGGTGAGACAGTGAGGGGTGGGAGATGGTACTATTTTAGATCAGAAGATGTCTGATAGAGTCACCCTTGAGTAGAGAGACCTGGATCCAGGCTAGGATGACCATTCTATGTTTTCTAGAAGGAAGAGAAGGAACCATGCAGATATTTGGAGAAAGAACCTTCTAGGGAGCTTCATATGCTGTGTTGAAAGAGTTTAGATTTGATCATCCCGGATTTCTATCTGGAATGACAAGGTGTGGCTTGCCTCTAGGTGGAATGCTGAAGTAGCAGCATATAGTTTGGCTTAAAGAAGATGGAGCAGACTACTGTAGCAGCTCACATAAAATGTGACAAAGGGGGTGGGCATTGTGTCCCAGCAGACTAAGCTGTCACTTGGGATTCCCACATCCCATATCAGAGTGCCTGGGATCCAGTCCCACCTCTGCTTCCCATCCAGCTTCCTGCTAATGTCCACCCTGGGAGAACAATGAGTGACAGCTGAAGTACTTGATTCCTTGCCACCCATGAGAGAGACCTGGAGTTCCTGGCTCCTGGGCTCAGCCTGGCCAAGCCCTGCCTGTTACAGGCATTTATGGAGTGAACCAGCGGATGGAAGACGTCTTTGTCTCTCCTTCTGTGTCACTCTGCCTCCCCTCCAAAAAAAAGAAAAACATAAACAGCAGGAATGAAGGCCTGAAGGATGCACTGCTAAGATGGGTACATAAGAACGGACTTGGGAAATATTTAGAAAGTGAAATAAACCGGACTTGACTATTCTATGACTTAGTCAACTGAGTGGATCAGGTAACATAGAGAATATAGTACGAAGAATTAAAATGGGATCCAAGTGGTGAATGTCATTAAGAATGTAATGAATTTGAGGTTCTCCGGGCTGTCCAAGGGGAGATGATGTTTAGTAGGCATTTGGATCCTCTAAGTCTGAAGCTGAGCTAGGGAAGGAAATAAGGCTTCATTGCCCTTAACATGTTTCACTGAAACCTTGGCAGTGGAAGACAAGTAGCATGAGAAGATAGTGGGCTGGGGACAGCCGTGTTTCAAGAGTGGTCAGAAGGGAAGGGAGCACGGAAGGACAAGATATGAACTAAGAGTCAGGAGGGAAACCAGGAGCAAGTGACCTCATAGGAGTCAAAGGGGGAATGGGTTTCACATGCTCTGTGTTCCAGCCTGTGACTCATAGTACCCCTTTCCCAGCTGGCTGGCAGGGACTAGGACTGTGGAGCATGAGGAAGCCAGCCCGACACTGGGAGATGGGACCATATTCCTCACTTTTTTTTTTTAAAGATTTATTTTATTTATTTTGAAAGACAGTTATACAAAGAGGTAGACAGACAGAGTCTTCCATCTACTGGTTCACTCCCCAAATGGTCGCAACGGCTGGCGCTGAGCTGATCTGAAGCTAGGAGCTAGGAGCCAGGAGCTGCTTGTGGGTCTTCCACGTGGGTGCGGGGGCCCAAGAACCTGGACCATCCTCCACTGGTTTTCCAGGCACATTAGCAGGGAGCTGGATCCGAAATGGAGCTGCCGGGATTCAAAGTGGTGCCCATATGGGATGCTGGCACTGCATGCTGGGGCTTTAACCTGTTTCGCTACAACATTGGCCCCTCCTGACTTTCTGAACACCGTCCAAAGCAACTGAGGCATTACCTATTCACAGAGTCACTATAAGGATAAAATGAAGGATTTACAAATGTACTTTGTAATACATTAACCAAATGTGAGACAGTATTTTTTTTTTCTTTTTATATGAGACAGTTTTATCGGTTTCTTTATTGCTAAGATGTCTGGTCCCTGGCCTTATGCCCCAGTTGCTACTAGCTAGAAAGGCCAGGAAAGGAAGGAGAAAAGCTAAGCAAGGCCTACTTCTTGACCTGTATTGGGGTGGCCCTGTCCCTGCACTGTGCTGTACCTGTTGTCTCCTTCCCCAACAGGGCCATGCCACTTCATTTTTTGGCCCAGCCTTGGAGCGCTACTCATCCTTTCAAGTCAATGGCAATGATGACATTCGACAGATCCAGAGCCTAGAGAATGGTATTCTTTTTCTCACCAAGAACAACCTCAAGTATATGGCCCGTGGGGGCCTCATTATATTTGATTACCTGTAAGTGGCTTTGTGGCTTTGGACGTGGAAAGAGGGAATGCACAGGATGGGAAGGCTTGGGGTTGGCAGCCTGGGAGGCCCTGGTCCCTTAGCCTCTCCTGTTCCCCCACAGGCTGGATGAGAGTGAGGATATGCACAGCCTCCTGCTGACCGACAGCAGCACTCTCCTTGTTGGTGGGCTGCAGAGCCACATATTGGAGATCGATCTTAACACTGTCCAGGAGACTCAGAAGGTACAGGGGCAGGCAAGACCCACGCAGGGTCTGAGGTTATGGGGCTGGGCCAGGGCCAGTGTATGCTCGGGCTGGTGGGTGTGACCTCGCAGTTACCCCATTCTCTGGGAAAAATCATCTGTCCCACTGGTTTTCCCTGCTTCCCTCTGCAGTATGCAGTCGAAACACCTGGAGTCACCGTCATGAGACAGACAAATCGCTTCTTCTTCTGTGGCCACACATCCGGCAAGGTCCTCTCCCCCACAGTACCCTGTTTCCCTGGGCGTCTGGTGGGCTTCTGCTTCTCCTCCATTCTGCCCGTGGAGTGGTGGCCTGGAGGCAGGGGATGAGAAGGGTGAAGTCACTTCCTGCTCAGTTACATCACCCTGTTTGCAGCCTCTTGTTTTCTGTTGTGACTCAGTGCCTCGGAGGCAGAAGGGTGAACACGAGTTCTCCTGCTCTTGGCTTCTGTTTGCCTTTTCTGCATCCTACCTGTCCATATCCTAGAGCGCCAGTTCTTCTGGTCATGACCTCACAGCGTCAGGCGGGTGGCAGATAACTCTTCCTGATAACAGGGTTGGCAGATAACAGACTGTCTCTTCTTTAGATTTCCCTGCGAGACCTCCGCACTTTTAAGGTGGAGCATGAGTTCGACGCTTTCTCAGGGAGTCTGTCAGACTTTGACGTGCACGGCAACCTCCTGGCTGCCTGCGGCTTCTCCAGCCGCCTCACTGGCCTGGCCTGCGACCGTTTCCTCAAGGTGTACGACCTGCGCATGATGCGTGCGATTACACCGCTTCAGGTCCACGTGGATCCCGCCTTCTTACGCTTCATCCCCACATATACGTCTCGGCTCGCCATCATCTCTCAGTCGGGTATGAAGACATCAGAGCAGGTGGCAGAGGTCATGAGTGAAGGGGAAGTTGGCCCCAGGAGGAGTGCTCTCCCAGAGACCTCTTTGTGGAGAAAAGAAGTAACCTCTCACCAGGGTCCCACAGTTTCACTGGGGTTTGGGCAGAGTTAAGAGCTTTGATTTTTCCCCCCCTTTTGGTTGTGAGGAACACCACAAAAAGAGATAGAGTAAGGAGAGTCACTCTTAGAATGGCTCCTGTGGCTTATGGGAAGGAGTCAGAGGACATGCTGCCTCTAGACGTGCCTCGGGGTCCCTGTGGCCTGGGTATCAGGGCACCTGGGTAGGAAGGGCTCCTTTCACATCGCAGGGCTCACTGAGCTTTTCCTCCCTCCTAGGACAGTGCCAGTTTTGTGAACCCACCGGCCTGGCCAACCCAGCAGATATCTTTCATGTGAATCCTGTGGGTCCTCTGCTAATGACATTTGATGTGTCAGCCAGCAAGCAGGCCCTGGCCTTTGGGGATTCTGAGGGCTGCGTGCACCTCTGGACTGACTCCCCTGAGCCTTCTTTCAACCCCTACTCCCGTGAGACTGAGTTTGCTTTGCCCTGTCTCGTGGACTCACTACCTCCTCTGGACTGGAGCCAGGACCTGCTGCCTCTTTCCCTCATCCCTGTGCCACTCACCACTGACACACTTCTCTCTGACTGGCCTGCTGCCAACTCCGCTCCAGCCCCCAGGTTGTACCTCACCTCTGGGCCCAAAGGAGGGAGGGGGAAAGAACTGAGCTGAGTCCTCTGCTAGCCCTGTCATTATTTACTACTTTCCTGGTTTTTGTTTACCTTCCGTATTCTTTCTGGACCCTTGGGGTTGGGAGTGGATGGGTGGACACTGTGACCCTTTAAGCCCTAGACTTGTACTGCATTATAGGCGAGCACCTCCCGTGGATGCAGAGATTCTGCGCACCATGAAGAAAGTAGGCTTCATTGGCTATGCCCCCAACCCCCGCACCAGGCTACGTAATCAGGTGTGTTCAGAGGGGACGGAGCTGGCCCCTCCCCAGTCCACTGGCATTGCTGCTTTTGTCTTTGTTGGTCTTTTGGTTTTAAACAGTTCGTAAAGGCTTTTGGGGACCACTGAAATATTGACAGAGCTGTATTAGGTGTTAGGGAGGATTTGGAGACTTCAAAGATGCAGTCCCTGTTTTTAGGAAGTTTAGTGTGTGGTTGGTGAAGGTGAGACATTGCTGTATCAGAAATTGCTTCCATGCTGTTGCTGAATGCTAAAGGAATGTCTAAGCATTCAGTGCCAGAGATGCCACAGTAGTCAAGGATGGCACCATGAAGAAGGCGGCCGCTGAGCAAGAAAGGTGCAGTAGGGCAGGCAGATGGTGATACAGAACAGGCACGATGAGGGCAGCGTTAGGAAAGCTCTCGGAGGCATAAACGCAAGAGGCGCTTCTGAGGGGGCTCTGAGTCCACCAGCCTGGCTGCAGGAGACTTGGCCTTGGGAAATTGAGAGAGAGATAAAGTTAGAAAGGGCCAGGTTGGGAGCCTGGCACGCCAGTGCGTAGTAGTGACACACCGAAAGCAGCCTTCTGGGAGGGTTAGTTTGGTGGTGGTGAGCTAGAGAGAGTGAACACAGGGGAGACCCGTGTGGCAGCTGTCACAGCTGTGCAGCTGCGATGACGCAGAGGGATGGCAGTGAGAATAAAAAGGAAGAAGTGGGGGTTGGGCGTTTAGCCTAGCAGTTAAGACACCTGCGTCTCATATCAGAGTACCTGATTTCACTTCCTGGCTCTGGCTCCTGATTCTGGCTTCCTGATAATGCAGACCCCGTGAGACAGCAGTGATTGCTCAAGTAATTGAACTTCTGCTATTCATCTGAGAGACCTGGGCTGAGTTCTTCAGTTCCTGGTTTTGGCTCCCTAGAGGCCTAGTCCTGGTCATTATGAGCATTTGGGGAGTGAACCCCTGGAATGGCAGTCTCTCTGTCTAGCTTTTTTTCTACCTCTCGAAAAAAAAATTAAAATTAAAAAAAGGCAGATGCTGAGAATGCCATGAAAATAGATAGTTTAGGACTTGATGGCTCTTTCAGCATTGGGATAAAGGTGAAGAAGAAGCCAAAGATGGTGAAGATCCAACAAAGATAACTCTTTTTTTAAAACTCTAGATTCCTTACCGACTCAAGGAGTCGGACAGTGAATTTGACACCTTCAGCCAGGTCCCCGAGTCACCGATAGGGCGGGAAGAGGAGCCACATCTGCACATGGTCTCTAAGAAATACCGCAAGGTGCTAAGGGACAGCATGGCAGGGGCCCTGTGGGATGTGGGGCAAGGTGCCCTGGGAGGGAAATGGTACATGAAGGAGTTGGAGGACTCTGTCAGGAGGCCTTCGCCTACAACCTGGGCCCAGGAGGGAGGATCTGGGCAAGGCTGTGGCTACTGGGGAGGTTTGGGGGGCACTCTCAGGATCTCCTTGTCCCTGCTCAGACTGCTTCCATCTCAGGTGACCATCAAATATTCCAAGCTGGGGCTGGAAGACTTTGACTTCAAGCATTACAACAAGACCCTGTTTGCTGGACTAGAGCCGCACATCCCCAATGCCTACTGTAACTGCATGATCCAGGTAAGGGTTGGTGTTCCCATGCTTGGGTGGGCTTATTGCCTGTGGCTCCTCAGCCCCGACTGTACTCTTTCCAGGTCTCCTCAACCAAGCCCACCTTCCCGTGGTCGCCTCTGCCATTCCTTGTTGCCTCACAACTGAGGTCCCTTCTGTGGGCACCAGTGCTCATGGGTGGCCCCTGCCTTGTATCCCCCATCAGCTCACCTCACCGCTGCATCCCTTGTCTTCCCTGTCCCGGTTGCCTGCACCAGTCCTGCTCTCCCCTCCAGGTGCTCTACTTCCTGGAGCCTGTTCGCTGTCTCATCCAGAACCACCTTTGCCAGAAGGAGTTCTGCCTGGCCTGTGAGCTGGGATTCCTCTTCCACATGCTGGACCTCTCTCGTGGCGACCCTTGCCAGGTCAGTGCCTGGAGACCTGGGACACTTAAAATGGACGGAGAAGGGAGGTGGACAGCAGGCAGGGGCACTGCAGTGCAAATGACCCCCAAAGAGAAAATGATTCCTTTCCTCCGACACACTTGCAGGGCAGTAATTTTCTTCGAGCATTCCGCACCATTCCCGAGGCCTCAGCCCTTGGTCTGATCCTGGCTGACTCGGATGAGGCTTCCGGCAAGGGCAACCTGGCCAGGCTCATTCAGAGGTGGAATCGCTTCATTCTCACCCAGCTGCATCAAGATATGCAGGAGCTGGAAGTGCCCCAAGCTTACCGCAGTGCTGGAGGCAGCTATGGGATCAGGTCAGGAATAGTGGTAACTCCCGTGACAAGCCCCTGTGTGCCTCAGGGGGTCTCCAGCTCCCTCAGTGTGCCTCTGTCGCCTTCCCCACTTTTAGCAGCTTTTGCTCATCGGGGGACTCTGTCATTGGGCAGTTGTTCAGCTGCGAGATGGAGAACTGCAGCCTCTGCCGCTGTGGCAGCGAGACCGTGCGAGCCTCCTCCACTCTGCTCTTCACGCTCTCCTACCCTGAGGGTAGAAACAGTGGTAACCCTGCAGCCGGGTCGGGAAGGCTTCCCAGAATGTCCTGGAACACCAAGGAGGGGGCGTGGGGGGGTTAACCAGGGCTGAGAGGAGAGCCTGGGATGAAGCATCCAGTTTCTTCTCAGATAAAACCGGGAAGAACTATGACTTTGCTCAGGTGCTGAAGCGAAGCATCTGCCTGGAGCAGAACACACAGGCCTGGTGCGACAACTGTGAAAAGTACCAGCCCACGGTGAGCAGGCTCTTGTACCTGACTAGTCCTGCCATGCTGGGGACTCGGCCATGGGTTCATCTGGGGCTGGCACTGCCACCCAGGCGTCTAATCGGGAGTGGGAGGAACCCTAGTTCTTAGGATGCAGGCCCGGGCTTTACTGTCTAGGATTCTTTCCCCATAGATTCCCAGCTACCCCTTCTTTGTTTCATCCTCAGATTCAGACCCGCAACATCCGTCATCTGCCAGACATTCTTGTCATCAATTGTGAGGTTAACAGCTCCAAAGAGGCCGATTTCTGGAGAGCGCAGGCTGAGGTCAGGACCAGGGCTGAAAACGGGCCTGTCGAGGCATGCCTTTCCTGTTCACCCCCTAGGGCTGCCTTCTGTTTGTGCTTACGTTCCTAAACAATCAGAAGTTTTCCTCCCTGTGTTCAGGTTGCCTTCAAGATGGCAATGAAGAAGCACGGTGGGGAAGTCGTCAAGAACAAGGAGTTTGCTCGGGCTGACCGGTAGGCACCATCTTGGGAGCTGTCAAAGGATGGTGTTACCTGGCGGATCCTCTTGTTACCAGCTGGATCTCTGCAGGACACATCGATTCCTCTGTGCTGACAGGAAGGAAGTGGGGAGTCCCGAAGGTGCGCTGCTCTGTCCCTCCATGGAGGAGCTGAAGAATGTCTGGCTTCCTTTCTCCCTTCGCATGAAGATGACCAAGAACAAAGGGCTGGATGTTTGCAATTGGACTGATGGGGAGGAGGTGCAGGTTGTTGAAAAACTGGGAATGGGGGCAGGGAGGATACGGGAGAGGAGGTGGGGCAGAAGGTGAAGCTGGCTGGGGAAAGGTGGAACTTAGTAAGGGAGTGAGGCCTGTGATTTACAACTTGTAAGATCTTCCAGACCAGCTCAGGTCAGCCCTGGGAGTCGTAGACGGGCTAGGATGGAAATAACCCACCCTGGTCCCCCATTCCCTATACCCCCAACTCCCTGTCCTCTGTCCCCATCCCCCCTTCCTTCCCCATCCTTAAACTTAGCTTAGCAGCCTGGGTGCCCCCCTCACAGTGGGGCCCAGCCAGGGCAGAGGAGGAGCATGGTGTCTATGTGTATGACCTGATGGCAACTGTGGTACACATCCTGGACTCACGCACAGGGGGCAGCCTGGTGGCTCATATCAAAGTTGGAGAGACGTACCACCAGCGCAAAGAGGTGAGTGAGGTGGCACAGGGCAGGGACATTCCTGGGGATGGCCACAGTGGAGTCCCAGGTCTGTCGCTGAGTCTGAGACAGGGGTCCAGCCGTCACTCTGACATCCATCTTCCTGTGTCTCCACAGGGTGTTACTCACCAGCAGTGGTATCTCTTCAATGACTTTCTCATCGAACCCATCGATAAGGTTAGTTGTCACACGTTCCACTCCACCTTTCTTCTCCCCTTTTCCTAGCATCTTCATCCTTGGGGCCTTATAGAAAGCCAGGCAAAATCAAGAGGGAGGGATCCTCAGGAATGAAAAGTATTATCAGAGTTAAAAATAGCACCCCGGTCCTGGCTTCTGCCTGGCTTGGGGAAAAGGAAGAGGGGGTGTATGCAAAGGCCATAAGTGCTTTTTTTCTTCTATAGCATGAAGCCGTGCAGTTTGACATGAATTGGAAAGTACCTGCAATCCTTTATTACGTGAAAAGAAATCTCAATTCCAGATATAACCTGAACAGTAAGTAACAAAGAGTAGACCCAAGGGTATGGGCAGTTTAGATAGTTTAGATAGGACTTTAGGAAGAGATTTGGGATAGAGTGTGTCAGTATTTTGGATTGGTAATCAGCATTAATATTTCTGGGCACACTAAAAAGATTTCTGCTTACTTATTTTAATTATGTTTAAAAACATTATTTATTCGTTTATTTGAGAGGCAGAGAGACAGATAAACAGAGAGGAGAACTCCCCTCTGTGGATTCATTCCCAAAGTGCCTACAATGGCTGAGGCTGGGCCATGCTGAAGCCAGAAGTTGGGAACTCAATCTAGGTCTCCCACGTGGGTAACAGGAGCCCAACCACTTGATCCGTGCCATCACTGCCGTCTTCTGGGGTCTGCATTGGCAGGAAGCTGAAACCCAGATGGCTGGATACAAGTTGCAGGGATCCTAACTGGCTGCCTAGCTGCTAGGCCCGACACTCACCCTCGACCTTGTGTTTAGAGCTGGCGATCCCGGGGGTGGGGTGGGGGAAGAGATGAGGGTGGGAAGTTTGATCAGAGTGATTCAGGTCTCAAGTTTGAGTCTAACCATGTTCATAATCACATGAAGATCTCCCCTTTGGGAGATATGTTCCTTATTAAGTCTCTGTTTGGTAGCTTTAAACTGTACTTTCTCTGTAGGCTATGATTCAAATGAAAGCTTTGTTCTTTCTTGTCTGTTCTCAGTATATTTCTTTTAAAAATTAGCTTATTTTGTGAGGCAGACATCCCATCCTCAGGTCTACCGCCCAGTTGCCCTTGATCCAGGAACTCAATCCCCATCTTCCACGTAGGCAGCAGGGACCTAACCATTTGAGCCATCACCTGCCACCTTCCAGGGTGAGCGTCAGCAGGACACTGGAATTGGGAGTGAAATAGAGCTGGGACTGAACCCAGGCACTCCAACATGGGATGCAGGCATTCCAAGCAACCGTACCAAACTCCTGCCACTGTTTCTTTGTAATTTTCTGATTAAACCTGCTCTGTTCATCAGATAGGATCTTAATACTTGCATGCCTTAATTATTGAGGGACGACAGCATAGACCCAGAGTCTCCCATTAGCCACCTTGGGCTTTTCTCCTCTGATACCTATCCCAGCCCCCTGTCCTGTGTGTTCTCCCTTCCAGTCAAGAATCCTATTGAGGCTAGTGTCCTGCTGGCTGAAGCCTCACTGGCACGGAAGCAGCGGAAGACACATACTACCTTTATCCCACTGATGCTGAATGAAATGCCACAGGTTGGGGATCTGGTGGGCCTCGATGCTGAGTTTGTCACCCTCAATGAGGTAACCAAGACTAAAAAGACAGAACACTGGCATGGAACTGTAAGGCCATTAGGAGTTACAAGCATTTCTGATTTCCTTATCAACTCTCCTCACATAGGAAGAAGCAGAGTTACGCAGTGATGGCACCAAGTCCACCATTAAACCAAGCCAGATGTCAGTAGCAAGGATCACCTGTGTTCGGGGCCAGGGACCAAATGAGGGTATCCCCTTCATTGATGACTACATCTCTACCCAGGAGCAGGTATTACTGTAGGTGTGCGAGTGAGGCAGACCCTGTACTTGAGAACCCAGGGAAGAGTGGCAGGAGGAGACTCTGCGCCTCACTTCCTTTCTCTATTCCCAGGTCGTGGATTACTTGACTCAGTACTCGGGGATAAAGCCGGGAGACCTTGACGCCAAGATATCCTCCAAGCACCTCACAACCCTCAAGTCCACGTACTTGAAGCTTCGGTTTCTCATTGACATTGGCGTCAAGTTCGTGGGCCATGGCCTGCAGAAGGACTTCAGGGTCATCAACCTCATGGTTCGGGCAGGGACTCTTAGGAATCACCTTTGAGGGTGGGCCCCCAGGGTATACATTGTGCTTTTGGAGAATGGGAAATGAATCTTTAACTCTCCCACTGTTTTATTTCTGCCAGGTGCCCAAGGACCAAGTACTTGACACTGTGTACCTGTTCCACATGCCCCGAAAACGAATGATTTCCCTGCGATTCCTTGCATGGTACTTTCTGGGTGAGTTGCTCCATCTTGTAGACAGCGGAGGTGCTCATTAGAAATAGGAAAACTGCTGGAGGTCAAAGGGGAGTAGGGACAGCCCTGAATTAGCGATGAGATTGACCAAGGGATTTTTACAATTAGCGTCAGTATCTCCTCTACACTAGGGAAGGTGTTTGACTCTTTGCCTTATAGGTAATTTATTGTTTTCTTTGAGTCATAGGGTGGGAGTCGGGGGGATATGTCGCTACCTCCCTTTGCCTGGTCCCCAACTCTTCTGCCTTTACTCGCCCTAGACCTGAAGATTCAAGGGGAGACCCATGACAGTATTGAGGATGCCCGCACAGCTCTTCAGCTCTATCGAAAGTATCTGGAGCTAAGCAAGAACGGCACTGAGCCTGAATCCTTCCACAAGGTGCTCAAGGGCCTTTATGAGAAGGGCCGGAAGATGGACTGGAAGGTGCCTGAGCCAGAGGGCCAGACAAGTCCCAAGAGTAAGGCCTGGAATGGGAACAGGGAGACTGGCTCGGACAGGTTTTGATTGCATACATGGAGGTTATACCCACCACCACAACGATGTTGATGAGTGATGATAACAAGACCAATCTTACCCTATTTTTTGTAAAGTGATTAGCAATTACAATTGCACTTAATCCTCCTAACAGGCAGGGAAATTGTTTTTATTATTGAAACCCTGCATCAGTCCTATAATCTCCTCTTGCTGAATTCTGAAATGTTTGGGGAAGGTCCACGCCCGTTTTCTCGTCCATTTTCTTCACGAGAGGCGTCCAGGTGTTCTCTGCACTCGCCTAACAGTCGTGCTCTCGGTTTTGTCTCTGACAGACGCAGCGGTCTTCTCCTCAGTGCTGGCACTCTGACCTGCCCTCTCCCTTCAGTGCTCTGTAGCCCCAGAACTGGGAGATGGCTTCCCAAGTGGGTCCACTTCCAGAACGGGACCTGCTCAGTCTCCACAGATGGTGCTATTAATAGAACTGGAACTCAGAAAAATCGATGCAAAGGTTCTAGGAGCCGGATTCCTTCTTCATCCTTTGCAAAACAGCAGGCCAGATACAAAGTCTAGACCCAGACGGAAAGTAATTGGCATTCTTAATAAATACCCGGGGTGATTAGTATCTAGGCGGAGAAGGTTCTGGGACCAACACTCTCAGCTCCTAGCTGGCTGGGGACTGAAGTACTGGACAGTGACAAGAGGATATACTTAGTAGCTCAAGATTTAGCTCAAGTCTTCAATTGCTCAGGGGATGCCTGGAGGGATCATCATGTTGCAGCTTGGGGAATCAAGAAAACCACAGTTGCCAATACCATTGCCAAAAGGGACTTTGTTTCCTGGACAAAGCTTGGCTGCTGGCTCCATTCCTGCTGACAGCTGAGAAGCATCTGTCTTCCATCTTCTTTCCCGTCTCAAGTTTTGTTATTTTTTAAAAATTTATTTTAAGCCGCATGTTTTATAAAATAAAAACGAAAATATTGTCTAATCACCTGTCTCATTATAGAACTGCTTTTGTAGGGGTTCTGTGAAGCTCTATTATTATTTTTTGGTTTCTTATTAACACTCAGAAAACTAAAGTTGTGCTCAAATCCACATCCGGGAATGAAGGTAAAGCTTCGGGGTCCAAAGTTATGGATACGGGAGAAGTGAAATTACTCCCTTCCTGGACAACACTAGGTGTTTGCTGTAGATGCCCAGTACCCTAGGGTCAGACTGCTGTGAAGACACGTGGTATGGTTTGCGTAAGCCGCAAAACTACAAGTCCCAGGGCATCTGCTGACGCCAGCAGCTGCCGAAAGGGTCAGCTGGTGCTGCAGTGCGTTCTGGGAGATGTAGTTTCGAGGCGAGGTCGTCTGGCTGGCTAGCCGCAGCCCGGGGTTCTGAAGGCCCTAGCCCACCTAGAGCGATGCATCGCTCGCGCCTCACTGCTCCCGTGTAACACGCCGGGCTCCGTCCGCGCCTGGCGCCGCTCCTGTTCTGCTACCCGCCGGCGGCCAGTCACGTGGAGCCCTTCGCCACGCAAGTCTGGGTCCTTCTGCAAGCCACCGGGGTCCTCGCCACTTCAGTGCCGCTCCCACGTTGCCTGTTCGCGCGAGAGTTTGCAGGGGCGGGTTTAGGGTCGCTGTGTGGTGGGGGCTCGCCCGGCCACACAACCCGAGCCCCGCTTAGGCGCCCAGTTAGGGTGCAGGGAGCTGGGTCAGGCGGCTGCCTGGGCACCCCGTTTCTAGAAAGCACCGACGCGCTCTGGAGGATCACGGACAGCCCCGCTCCCCCCTCAGCCAGGTGCGAGGCTCGGGAGCCACCGAGGCCAAAGTGAGAGTCCGGCGATTTTGCAGCGCCTGGGCCACGGCGGCGGCCCTGGGAGCAGAGGTGGGACGCGTGCGGCGCTAAGGGCTGGGGACGGGCTGCAGCGAAAGCAATGGGGGAGCCCTCAGAAAGGGGGCTGGTCCACACGTGCAGTCCCTTGGAGGCTGGCGGAGGGCATGCGGGCATCTTCTGTGCAGGATCCTGTCAGGCCCTGGTTGTTGAGCGCTCTGCTCGCCGGCCGCCTGGCCTGACCGCAGGCCCCTCGCACGGTCACCGGCCTCCGTCCCGTAGCTGCCACATAGCCCTGTGAACCCTTGGCCGCTAATGGTAACGTACCAACACTTAGGGACTCACCTGCCCCTGAGCCCCAAGCCCTGCGCTCCGGAGGGGTCAGCCCTCAAGCGCCGGCGCAGAGGAGCTTCTTTGTGTCCCAGCCATTTCCTGGAAAGCAGTCAGAATGGCAGGAGGCTCTGGAAGGCCTTGGGATGGAGAGGTGGAGTGTGGGGGGTGCAGGGGAAGTAGAGTCGGTTCCTTACTCTGTTTTGTTTTTTTTTTTTTTTTCCCCCACCCAAATTCAGGTGGAGCAACCCCATTACGTTAAAGATGAAAGGCTGGGGTTGGCTGGCCCTGCTTCTTGGGGCCCTGCTGGGAACTGCCTGGGCTCGGAGGAGCCAGGATCTACACTGTGGAGGTAAAGAAAAGCACACAGAACATAAGAAGGGGGAGGGAGTGGACTCTGGGCAGGGCTCGAGACCCAAGGCCTGGGGGGAAATGAATGCGAATCCCTCTTACCCAGCTTGCAGGGCTCTGGTGGATGAACTCGAGTGGGAGATTGCCCAGGTGGACCCCAAGAAGACCATTCAGATGGGATCTTTCCGGATCAATCCAGACGGCAGCCAGTCGGTGGTGGAGGTAACTGTTAGTTCCCCCGGAGAGTTCACTCTGGCTTTGAATGAGAACGCAGCTCATTAAGACGGACTTTGGTTTTACAGAAATGAAGACTAACTCAGAGAGGTCCCTGGAAGATTGGGCTCTGTCTCATGAGGTTATCCCTTGTGTGCCTTCTTTCTGGCTCCAACCCCTAAATACTCTGTTTCTGTACAGAACTTGTCACTGGGAGCCCTGATCAGCCCTCTTCTTTATACATCTTTAATTCGTGTAACTCCTGTTTCCTCCCTAGCACTGGGATACATACAGACTTTCATTCAAAAAGAATAAAAGGTCTTATGCTTGTAATTAGGAAATTGATTTCAGCTGAAAATGTAACACACACAAAGCTGTACATAGTGAGCAATATGTAAACATTAAGGTTATGAAGCTTTTGGGTTTTTTTATGTACCTTTTTTTTAAAAAAAGATTTATTTACTCATTATTTGAAAGGCAGAGTTACAGAGAGACAGAGGCAGAGAAAGACAGAGAGGTGTCTTCCATCCGCTGGTTCACTCCCCAGTTGGTTGCAACAGCCAGAGCTGTGCCAATCCAAAGCCAGGAGCTTCCTCTGGGTCTCCCACGCAGGTGCAGGGGCCCAAGCACTTGAACCATCTTCTACTGTTTGCTCAGGCCACAGCAGAGAGCTGGATCAGAAGTGGACCAGCCAGGATTTGAACCAGCTCCCATATGGGATGCCAGCCCTGCAGGCGGCGGCTTCACATGCTATACCACACTGCTGGCCCCTGTGAAATTTTTTTTTTTTTTTTTGACAGGCAGAGTTAGAGAGGGACAAAGGTTTTCCTTCCGTTGGTTCACCCCCGAAATGGCTGCTACGGCTGGGGCACTGCGCTGATCTGAAGCCAGGAGCCAGGTGCTTCCTCCTGGTCTCCCATGCGGGTGCAGAGCCCAAGCACTTGGGCCGTTCTCCACTGCCTTCCCTGGCCACAGCAGAGAGCTGGACTGGAAGAGGAGCAACCGGGACAGAACCGGCACCCCAACCGGGACTAGAACCCCGGGTGCCGACGCCGCAGGCGGAGGATTAGCCTAGTGAGCCGCAGCACCGGCCGAATTGTTTTAATAGTTGTCATCCTCAAAGCCTGTTTTGCGTCTCTATTGCTGTCCTACTGAAAACAAATGTTGGTTTCATTCTAATACTAAAAAAAAATAAATAAATTATCAAGGAGTGATAAGAGGTGCTGAAGGTTGGGTTGGTACCCATGGTCAAAAATTTAATCAATCACACATAGATAATGAAGACTCCATAAAAAAAAACAAAAAGGACAGGGTTCAGAGAGCTTCTGGGTGGCTGGAGGATGGTGCTCAGGGCATGGAAGCTCTGTGCCTCTCTTCATCTGAAGCCTTTGTAATATTCTTTATAATAAGTTGGTAAACATGAGTATTGATCACCTACAGTCATAAGAATGAATTCAAAGGAAAAGAACACCATTGATCAGAGTTGATAATTTGGAGTTAATGCTACATGTCTTATTTGTGCCATGCAGTAAAGATAAAACCATATATTCAAAAGTACTTTGAAACTATACAAATATAGCCATACTGTGTTAGTTAGGGAAGGATTTTTAGAATAAGTTAGTTGAGCCAGAGTTGGAAGGAAGAGTAAGGATATAAATTACTAACGCGCAGACATAGGAGATAGTGACCGAAGGCTGAGGACTTTTCCAGGTGCCTTACGCCCGCTCCGAGGCCCACCTCACAGAGCTGCTTGAGGAAGTGTGTGACCGCATGAAGGAGTATGGGGAACAGATCGATCCTTCCACCCACCGCAAGAACTACGTGCGCGTGGTGGGCCGCAACGGAGAATCCAGCGAACTGGACCTGCAGGGCATCCGCATCGACTCGGATATCAGCGGCACCCTCAAGTTTGCGGTGAGCTCTGGCGCGGGGGTAACTCGTTCTTGGAAATCGGGAGGGCTGTTGGACGGCTCAAGTAGAAAGTTGGGTTAATGTCCTTGTCCTCGTCTCTGGAGGTAGAGGCAGGAGGCCTCTTCCTGCTGCCCTGTATCACTCGTCTCTCCTTTGGGTTGGCAGTGTGAGAGCATCGTGGAAGAATATGAGGATGAACTCATTGAATTCTTTTCCCGAGAGGCTGACAATGTTAAAGACAAACTTTGTAGTAAGCGAACAGGTAAGCTACTACCCATTTATCTCATGTTCTCACCGCCCTATGGAACCTAGCTACCTTCTCTTGGGAAACCTGATAATAGCCCAAGAGTTGGTTTCCATTTCCTTTGCCCCTTGGCTTAGGGACTAGGAGTGTTCCTCTCCATTCTCTGTCTGCTTTCAGATTGGAGATAGAAGCAGGGTGCGGGGCGGGGGTGGTGCAGAGGGGCATGTTTTGTCATTTCTAAGCATATGCTCTCAAGCATGGTGGTTGGTGTGTGCGTCAGTTTGGCTTACCGTATTTCCTTGTTAGTGGTGTGTGTCAGAATGAAAGTGGCGTTTCCCTTCCAATCGTTATGTACTGTTTGCAGATCTGTGTGACCATGCCCTGCACATATCTCACGATGAGCTATGAACCATTGGAGCAGCCCAGACTGACTTGATGGATCACCCCCAGGAGGGGAAGACGGTGGCATTGCCTTTTATATTATGTTTTTACCGAAATGAACTGAAAAAAAATATGAAACCAAAAGTGCAGATGTGTTGTCTTTGCATGCCCGGAGTCAGCCTTTCCATTAGGCCTGAACATCGGGGATTACAGATAGGGAAGGGAGAGCTTGAGGACTGGGGCAACAGAAAGAGGGCTCTGAACCTTTCACTCTGCCTTCGGAGGTTACGCCCCACTCATGAACTAGGTAAGCATTTATTCACTGCCCACCCGAAACGGTGTGCTTAGATTCTAATTATGGAGAAGAGAGGACCCTCTACGCCGGTGGTAGTATAGAATTCTATAAACTCCTTGTACCCATGCCAACAAAGCACGTAAAACAGAGCTCGGTCTTAGAGGAAATACTGCTCATGCATTCTTGTTCCTTCCCTGCCCTTGCAGATGGAGGGACCAGCAAGAGCAGAGACAGGAAGGGGAGAGTGGATGTGACCAGCTCAGCTGACAAGTAAGGGGAGAGATGAGGGAAGCCATGTTATTGCGTGAAAGGCCTTGCATGTGAGCATAAGCTTTAAGATTTGATGCCAGCAGCAAGGAAGAGCAGGTCTTTCTCATCTCTGTCACAAGCCATTGTCAGTCTGGACTCTGTTAAGTTTAGAGATTCTGCACTAGGCTCAGGAATTAGAATCTAAGGGTACCTTTCTTCCTGCAGGGGGTGGAGGGGAATTTCTTAAACACCCTGATTCTGAAGTGTAGCTGTCTCAGGGTTTAGAATGAAACACTTCTGTCTCAGGAATGCCTTAAGGAGGGAACACTTGAACAAGGATTTTTTTTATTTTATTTTTTTATTTAAAGCATTTTAAAATCTAAAGGGACCTGGCCGGCGCCGCGGCTCACTAGGCTAATCCTCCGCCTAGCGGCGCCGGCACACCGGGTTATAGTCCCAGTCGGGGCGCTGGATTCTGTCCCGGTTGCCCCTCTTCCAGGCCAGCTCTCTGCTGTGGCCAGGGAGTGCAGTGGAGGATGGCCCAAGTGCTTGGGCCCTGCACCCCATGGGAGACCAGGAAAAGCACCTGGCTCCTGGCTCCTGCCATCAGATCAGCGCGGTGCGCTGGCCGCAGCGCGCTGGCCGTGGCGGCCATTGGAGGGTGAACCAACGGCAAAAAGGAAGACCTTTCTCTCTGTCTCTCTCTCTCACTGTCCACTCTGCCTGTCAAAAAAATAAAAAAATAAATAAATAAATAAATTAAAAAAAAAAAAAGAAAATCTAAAGGGACCTTGGAGGTCATCTGGCTCATGTCTGCCCATTTTACAGGCAGAGAAACAAGGCCAAGGGAGGCCATGGTTACTGACTTACTGTTCAGTGACAAAACCGGATCTGCAAGGATCTTGCTTTCCCGAGTGCCAGTCTGATCTAGTGCAGCCAGAGTAGCTTCTGATTTAAATCGTTCTTAGTACCCTGCGCTAGGCCTGGCCAGCAGTATCAAAGTTCAGCGGGGCGGGCTTTTGGTGCAGTGATCGAGATGCTGCTGGAGCCCGCGTCCCACATCCGTGTGCCTGGTCTCACGTCCTGGCTGTGCTGCCATTTCAGCTCCCTACTAGTGTGACCCTGGGAGGCAGCGGAGATGGCTCAGGTACTTGACCCCTGCCACCCACATGGGAGACTTAGATAAAGTTTTGGGCTCCTAGCTTTGGCGCGACCCAGCAACAGCTGTTGTAGGCATTTGGGGAGTGAACCAGCAGATGGGAGATCAATCTCTGTCTATCTGCTTATCTGTCTCTGTCTCTGCCTTTCAAGTAAATAAAAGTAAATTGGAAAAAAAAAATCTGTTAGGTATTCGACAAAGCTTCCTTATAGCACACATCGCTATGAAATGTTATTGCTAGTGAAAACAATGACTCTTATAACTCATCTATTTAATCAGACGTTTTTGTTTTGTTTTTGATACATAATAATGTGTACAGTTCTATAAAAGTCTTTTTCCTTAACTGGGAAAGCTCTTGTTTTATTTATTGGCCTCCCTTCTTTTTTCCTTCAAGGTGTCCGCCTCTTTGTACCTCCTTCATTTAACAGTGTCATCTACAGGAATTCCTACTCCCTGCACGTTATCCTGCTGGTGAGAAAACCCTTCCTTGGGACCAAGGAGGTGTAGGAGGTGACCACGGCCTCTGAAAGCGTTAACACATGAGCCCAGAACAGGCTCTGTGGTGCTAGTTCACAGAACTCAGAGCCTGGTGTTAATTCCATCTTCTCTCATCAGCCCAAAGCAATGCTCTGTCCTGTCGAATCAGTTTCCCAAACCAGTTCTAAGGAAGCTTTTAAAATTTTTTGTTTATTTTCGTTTATTCAAAAGGCAGAGAGACACAGAGATCATTCTTCCATCTTCTGGTTTGCACTCCCAAATGCCCACAACAGCCGAGACTGAGCCAGGCTAAATCCTGAAGCTCAGAACCCAATAATCCAGGTCTCTTACGTAGGTGCAGGGGTTCAAGTATTTGAGCCATCACCTGCTGCCTTCCAGGATACTCAAAGAAGCTGGAACTGGAAGCAAAACCAGGACTTAAACCCAGGCATTCTGATACTGGATGTGGATGTTCCAAGTAGCATCTTAACCACTGCACCAAACACCCTTCTCTTATAAATTTTTTCCTTCTGTGATGCATATGAGTAATATTCACATTCTTCATACTCCAGAGAGTATACCTGATTCTTCCACTGCCTGCTGGATGTCTAAACATTCCTTTCTCTTCCAGAAGGCTAGGTCTGTCAGAAGTATTCAGGGTGATACGACTGTAGAAGTATAAAAACATTCTTATAGGAGATTTGAGACTTTTACCAAAAACAAAAATTACAAGTTTTAATAAATTTTCTATTAAGATTTGTTTGCGTGAAAGGCAATGACAGAAAGAGATTTTTCACCTGCTGGTTTATTCTCCAAATGGCCTCAAATCCAGGGGTGGGCTAGACTAAAACGAGGAGCCCAGAATTCCATTTGGGTATCCCACAAATAGGGGGGCAGGGGCCCAAGTAATTGGGCTGTCTTCCCAGGTGCATTAGCAGGGAGCGGCATTGGAAACAGAGCAGCCAGGACTTGAACAGCACTCCAGTACGGGTTGCAAGTGTTAACAATTGGGGCCTTAACCTGTTGTGCCACAACCTTCCTGGCCCCCGTAATAAACTTAGTGATGAAACTCACTGCTTTGTCAAGGTACAGCCATTAAGAACTCTCCAGCTTGAGAGTCCGCCACAGTGATACGTCCTGCGTAGGAAAGGGTAGAAGTTACCTTGATTTGCTCCTCAGAAGGTTATAAGGATACATGCTACACATTTCTAAGTTCATACCACAATGAATCCATGAATTAGTCTTAACCTGTCTGGAGGCTTACTATAACAACTTATCAACTTATTCCAGCCCAACATTGGGTGTAGCATGTACTTTTTTTGGGGGGGGGGGGGGACAAGAGTGAGAGCTGTCACTTGCTGATTGCTAATCCCCAAATGTCTGCATGGCCAGAGCTAGAAACTGGAAGCTTGCGAACTCAGCCCAGGTCTCTCGTGTGGGTGGCAAAAGCCCAACCTCTTGAACTACCACCACTGCCTCCTGGGGATCAGGAGCTGGAACTTGGGGCAGAATGTAGGCACTCTGATAGGAATGTGCATCTTAACCAGTGTCTTAACCGGTAAGCTAAACACTAGCCCCAAGCATATACTATTAACCCTGCAAATCTGGTTGCACTTTAAAGATGTAGGGGCTGGGGCTGGGGCTGGGGCTGTGGCACAGCGAGTTAAAGCCCTAGCCTGCTGCACCAGTATCCATTTGGTACCACCTGCTCCTCTTTCAATCCTGCTCTCTCCTATGGTCTGTGAAAGCAGTAAAAGATGGCCTGAGTGCTTGGGCCCCTGTACCTACATGGGGGACTCAGAAGAAGCTCCTGACTTTGGATCAGCTCAGTTCCAGCCATCGCGGACATTTGGGGAATGAACCAACAGATGGAAGACTTCCCTTTCTGACTCTTTTCAAATAAAATAAATCTTTTTAAAAAAGAATTTAGATGCCATATAATTTGTCAGTGAAATGTTTGAAGGGCAGGTATTATGGTGCAGTAGATTAAGCCACTGCTGCCTGGGATGCCCACATCCTGTATTGGAGTGCCTGGGCTCCACTTCTAGTCCAGCTTCCTGCTAATGCACCTGGGAGGTAGATGAAGGCTCAGGGACTTAGGTTCTTGCCACTCATGCCCATGTGGGAGACCTGGATGGCATTCCTGGCTCCTGGCTTTGCCCAGCCTCTGCTATTGCAGGCATTTGGGGAGTGAACCAGCAGATGGAAGATCTTCGTCATTCTATGCCTTTCGAATAAATGTTAGAACTTAAATACTTCCATGGTAATAAAGCTCCAGGTGTAACTAGGAAAATTTATTTGAAAACACGATCCTTTGGTAATAACTTTTAGAGGAATTTTTTACTGTTGAGAAGGAGTCACAGCAAGGACAAGAATCCTTTAAATATAGGATAGGGATGAGAAGCTGAATATGCAAATAACAGCCACACATGTTCTCATTTACAACTCTTAAGCTCAGAGAGGCTAAGCATCTTGCTAGGCAGCAAGGAGCCATTTGTCAACTCCAGTGGTCATCTTATGTGTGAGGCAGTGGTCTTTCTGCTGTACCTCCCTCCATGTAGTCTCCAGTGGCTTTGTACTTTATTATTATTATTATTTTAAAGCTCAGAACTTCTTAGAGGACAAAATACATTATCATGTCTGATGATCAATGCAATCAAATTCATCATAGCTCTGTAAAGTACTTTTAAAGGTTTAAAGAATATATTTTAATTTATTTGAAAAGCAGACAGAGACAGAAACTGTCCATCAGTTGGTTCATTGCCCCAAATGCCCACACAACAGCCAGGGCTGAAGCTGGGAGCCAAGAACTCCATCCAGGTTTCCCACATGAATAGCAGGGACCTGAGGACTTGAGCCGTCACCTGCTGCCTCCCAGAGTGTGCATTAGCAGAGCAGCCAGGACACAAACCAGGCACTCCCATGTGGGGTGAGAGCATCCTAGACAGTATTAACTGCTGCACCAAACACTGGCCCTTAAAGCAGTACTTAGAATTTGTTTGGAGACCACCTCCAAGTTTGCATGCCTGCCCTCTGATTCTAGTAAGCTGTAGCGGAAAAGCCTTGCGTCATTCTGTTCTGCCATTCAGGTCTGTTTCCCTGAAGAAGTCCACTTTACCCCTCTGGCCATTTTAGGTATTAAGTCTTTGTCTCTCCTACCTTTATATATTTTCTGGAGGTCACCATCGATCATGTTTTTCAGGTATAGATAGGCAAAGTTTTTAAAGGTAAGAGCAGGGTTCCTTTTCTTTTAAAATATCATTAAATATAGCCACACATTGAGCTCATGTTTCCAGTTGACAGTGATTCAAAAACCTTCTTACTGAGTTACAGCTGATAATTCACATTCAATCATCATATAAACAACAAAGCTTAGTAGATAAGAGACAGGCTCTGCAGTGAGGCTGGCTTGGGTCTGAATTCTGGCTATGCCAATTATGAGCCGTGACCCTGGATGGGATACTTCATCCAAACCTTGGTTTCCCTTTTTAGACACACTAACTAACTAATATTAATTAATAGTATTAATTAATATTACCTAAATATCATAGATGTTATTGGGAATTAATACATATACCATATTTGGCTAGCCTCTGGTAATAGTAACTACTCAAACTTTAGCTATTAAGCTATTAAGTTGGGTTTATCCTTGCAGTTTTGAAAGGATTTAAATTCAGGCTGTATTGTCCCACTTTGGCCACCAGAGAGCACCATTGTCACTGCCCATTTTAAAGAGATCCTCCCAAGGTCAGGATGACCTCAGTGCTCATCTTCTCTAATGCTCCTTTAGTTACCAGGCACTTTGTTGTATGAGGGTACTTCAAAAAGTTCATGGAAGAAATAAAACGTTTATTTGGGCACAAAGAAAATTTTGAAATGCACGCATAGTTTTTTCATAATATGCATGTCCCACATATTATCAAAAAAATGTTTTTGCACCAAAAGCAGCTCACATTTTTTATTCCACTTTTCCATGAACTTTAAAAAATACTGTCTAGTTGGACCTAGCACTCACTTACCTGCCTTATTCTTAACGTCTCCCTTAACTTACTATGTGCCCAGGCCTCCACCGTGCTCAGAAAGAGACTCTCCGCCAGCTTCTGTGAGTTCCCGTTTAGCCCCTCTGATCCCTGGGCTTCCTCACTGCCCTCACAGTAGTGGGTATCAGGACTGGACAACTTCAAAAAAGTCCATAAAGGCTTTGCGAGGCTGTGTTCTGGGACCCTGTGTCAAGGGGCTGAGAACACTGCAGTCCCTCACTGTTTCTTCAATCACAAAAGCTCCAAAGTAGGTCACCCTCCGGTCACCCAGCTGGCCCTTCAGTAGCCTCATCCTGAGCGTGCCACCTGTCTCCTGGGGCAGCAGAGTTCAGTCCTCTGGTCTGCCGGCTAGTCTCTGTGGATGATTAACCGGAGGGGAGGAACCAGGTCAGACTATTCTAGGGTTAGGAGGAAATCCCCTGTGAGATGCTAAATTGGGAGCAAATATTGATCACTGAAGCTTTGAAGTCGCCGGGGAGTTGGCTGCGGTCCGTGCTGCTCAGGGACTTTGTGTGGCTTCTCTTTGTGGACTTCTTTCCTAAGACCTGTCTGATCCCCAGGCCTGGGGAGCACTGGTTGACAGGTGTGACACCAACTATGAGGAAACTGGGGAAGGGAGAATAAGGCTTTCAACATTTTTTTTCTTTTTTGAGGTCTGGGCTATGAAACTGTCTTTATAAATGAGGTCTATCTAAAGCTGGCTGAAATGGATCCTGAGACCGGTGAACCTGGTTGTTACTGCCATGTCTCAGAGAGTTAAAAAGGCTGTTCACAGCTGGCACTGCGGCTCACCTAGGCTAATCCTCTGCCTGCGGCGCTGGCACACCGGGTTCGAGTCCCGGTCGGGGCTCCAGATTCTGTCCTGGTTGCCCCTCTTCCAGTCCAGCTCTCTGCTGTGGCCCAGGAAGGCAGTGGAGGATGGCCCAAGTGCTTGGGCCCCTGCACTTGCATGGGAGACCAGGAGGAAGCACCCGGCTTCTGGCTTTGGATTGGCGCAGCACGCCGGCCGTGGCGGCCATTTGGGGGGTGAACCAAAGGAAGGAAGACCTTTCTCTCTGTCTGTCTCTAACTCTGCCTGTCAAAAAAAAAAAAAAAAAAAAAAAAAAAAAAAAAAAAAGCTGTTCACTTGGGGCTTGGGGTTTATAGATAAGAAGCTCTGCTCTTTGGGTCAGTTCCCCTCTGCCTTTGAGTCAGTGATGATGACAGACTCAAGGAGAGAAAAGTCCAGGGGTCTTGTCTACCCAGAGGAGTTCATGGTGTGGACGATCACTTTAGTGCCATGGGTCATGCAGCGGTCTCTGGGGAGCACAGGGTAAGAGAGGACAGAACACAGCCAAGTAGGAGAAATGCCCAGAGGCTCAGAGGGAGCGATAGGACAGGGAGGGGGCCGAATGCCTGATGTGGCATGAAGAGTGAGTGTCCACTTCCTGATCTTGTGGCTAGATACAGGGTGGACTGGCCGTGTGGGGTTCTGTGACTGGGGTAGCCCTAAGACTGAAACCCGGCTGGCGCCACGGCTCACTAGGCTAATCCTACGCCTAGCGGCGCCGGCACACCAGGTTCTAGTCCCGGTCGGGGCGTCGGATTCTGTCCCGGTTGCCCCTCTTCCAGGCCAGCCCTCTGCTGTGGCCAGGGAGTGCAGTGGAGGATGGCCCAGGTGCTTGGGCCCTGCACCCCACGGGAGACCAGGAAAAGCACCTGGCTCCTGGCTCCTGCCATCGGATCAGCGTGGTGCGCCAGCCGCGGTGCGCCGGCTGCAGCGCGCCGGCCGCGGCGGCCATTGGAGGGTGAACCAACGGCAAAGGAAGACCTTTCTCTCTGTCTCTCTCTCTCACTGTCCACTCTGCCTGTCAAAAAAAAAAAAAAAAAAAAAAAAAAAAAAAAAAAAAAAAAGACTGAAACCCAGCATTCCAGGTGAAATGGTGGTGGTTGGCCGGCGCCGCAGCTCAGTAGGCTAATCCTCCACCTCGCGGGGCCGGCACACGGGTTCTAGTCCTGGTCGGGACACCGGATTCTGTCCCAGTTGCCCCTCTTCCAGGCCAACTCTCTGCTGTGGCCCGGGAGTGCGGTGGAGGATGGCCCAAGTCCTTGGGCCCTGCACCCCATGGGAGACCAGGAGAAGCACCTGGCTCCTGGCTTTGGATCAGCGCGGTGCACTGGCTGCACCGGCCATTGGAGGGTGAACCAACGGCAAAGGAAGACCTTTCTCTCTCTCTCCCACTGTCCACTCTGCCTGTCAAAAAAAAAGAAAAAAGAAAAAGAAATGGTGGTGTCAGAGGAAA